CACACGTACTAAGAAACAACACATCGACAATATTCAACTGCCACACTACTCTACTGACTCAACAACTTGGTCGGACAGATCGACAGACTCTGATACCACTAATATAACACCCCATTCCTACCTAACGAATTATTTAAAATCAGAGTTACATAATTTCCAACAAACAAATGGAATGTTACACTTTCAACTTGAAAATAACGACATTTAATCACCTATAGTTCAGATACATAACACATAAATTCGGATGAACCGATAACAACCTGTTTAGTCTTTAAAAATAAAATAACTTTTCGTTGCTACGCAGCTGATTCGCAATTTCAACTGAAAACACCATAACATCTTGTACAACTCAAAACGACTTTAAGACAACAAGTCTAATGAAAACAAATTAAAAATTCAGCAACATAATAAAACCAACAATAAATAAAACATGTGTTCATCACTCCGAGTTCTACGTATCAAAGCGGTAATACCGACTCGAACTAACGAAGGTAACAACTATCCTTCTTGATTACCTGCACGTTACCAACAGAGGGAAACATTCAAACAAAAGGGGTGAGATATCGAACCATATAATTGAGTGTATGATAAACAATTTATTAGATCAGATTATATAAAATCACCACTTTACAGCTTTCAAGCAACATCAATCATCACAAGTCAACAATACAATATGTTAAATATGCAACACGGAATACGACTCGTTACAATGCACATGCATGTGGTACCGATGGAGAAAAACTCCCAACATAGAAATCTGCCAATTAATAGAGGCATCAACAAGGCATAAGCCTTCAACTTAATTTGTCAATCCAGGTCAACTTACCGAGCATCAACTCCAACTTGATATGCTATGTATGCGACCCAATATGAATGTCAGGATAGCAATAAGAAAATTCCATAGCAAAGCAACAACAAACCAACATTGGTCATAAGCCCACAACTTAATATTTTGCCCGTAAACAGAGGTGATTCAACAAGACACGACATCACCTGCAAATTCGCATTGTTCAACAAGGAACACGATACCATGAATCAACCAAAATTTACTACAACTAAACCGCGTAACTATTCGGGCTATTTCAACTATTTTCGGTTAACTAATTATCTAAATACTTATTTTTAATTACAAAACTCTTAAAATTATTTTATTAATAATATTAACTCATTGTTACTATTATTACTATTATACTAATGCAATGTATATACACATATATTAGTAATATGGAATACTGAAACTGGTTTTTCAATTGATCTATAATTTACACTACATTATATACCACCAAAATATTATTCTCAATTTAACTCATATAAGTCATAGTACTATAATTTAATTGGCATAGGAACATGATATATTGTCTTAATTTGGATTTGAGGATGCAATTAACTATATATGCCAATTTGTTTTTCAAAGATAACATTACAGTTTATACTTTCACAAAGTAATGCTAAAAGGTGTAAGCTCTATTATTAATTAAATATGTGTATACAAGTAAATTTAAAATGCTATCTCAATTTCACCTAATGTCACTCTGCTTCAGTATCCAAGCATATAAGCAGTGTGTTCTTTCGCTACATTATCCAAACATATAGACCCTAATCATTTTATTAATTAGCCTACCACCAATTCCCGCTACTTATCTTAATTTATTCTAGTGGCATACTACTACAATTGATTAAACAAATTTCTATACTGATAATAAATCATAATTTAGCAAATGTGTATTATTATTTGGAACCTCTAACTTACCCTACTGACAACTCTAAACATGTCAGAATTACGCAAAACAAATAAAAGTGACTTTTAATGATACGAAACAACTATATTGATAACTTTAACAACATTATTGACAACTCTAACAACCCTATTGACAACTCAATTGACAATTGTAACAACTCTATCGAAATTGAAAGTAACTTAAATTTGTTAAATAGTCTAAATATTTATCTCTAATTCAAAACTCCTAAAAATATTATATTAATAACATTAAATTATTCTTATTATTATTATTATTATTATTAAAACAAAGTAGACTTGAAACACAATATTGCAACAACCAATAATACATGTTACTACTCAAATTACGTTGATGATACTGCTTCGACAGTTATAGAAAACGGTTACAATAATTAAAGCAGATGCACAATCACAATAGTATAGTACAACTATAGTTAGATGCATAAGCAATTAGCATACAACATCCAATAGTAGGACATGATGACAATATATAATTAATCATATTATAAACATTTAGTTCACATTTCAACCCAACTATTCCTCACTCATATCATACTGGTGCCTCAATGACTATGTATATACACTCAAGAATGCATCAATTAATATTTATCAATTATTATTTGCAGAACCAAACAGAGCACAAGTTTTATGTCTAACATTGAATCTTTTCTTTTATTTATTCGATAGAAACATATATCACCAAAATGTTACTTAATACTTCAAAAATCAAGGCATATATATATATATATATATATATATATATATATATATATATATATATATATATATATATATATATATATATATATATATATATATATATATATATATATATATATATATATATATATATATATATATATATATATATATATATATATATATATATATATATATATATATATATATATATATATATATTCAACGATTGTTTATCAAAACCTAACAATGTGAAAACGATAAAAATTAGGGTTTTAATTCTAAACATGTTTCTATTCATCATAACATTCGTCATATGTCCTATTATAGAGTCAGAACCACACCCTTATCTTGGATTGAAGGTTGCTCTAACTCTCCGATTACACCTAGTTTTGCCTCCACTTTGCACTTCCACGTATCTCTTCCAAAACCCTTATTTTCTTCTTCTGCCAAAACCTATTCTTCTTTCTTTCTACTGATACTTCTATTTTTGTATCGTGGACACACTAAAATCTAACATAAAGATCCTAATTTATACCACTTCGACCATAACAGTCTTTCACTAGAGGAGTGTCACGTTCGACATTGCATGCTTTTTTGAACCCCCGGGCTTCCACGCGTCCTTCTGGATAAGATCAAATCATTATATTCAAATACATCTTTGATTCAAAGTGCCAAAGCCACAACGTAACCTGTCAAATTATTTGAATTTGAAATTTGAAATATCTTAAGTCTTATATATTCGCAATAATAAGACTTCACAAATACTTAATAATTTTAAACCTTTATTTGGTTAGTAAGTCGAAGACCATAAACAATATCTTTCAGCTTTCCTTTTAAGATTAACCTTTCTTCGATATCCTTTTATTTTCCTTCCACCTTATAAGCCGTCGAAATTCTCAGCTAACACCATATAATTTATTTTTCCTCTTCAGTTCATTTGGCGTCCATATCTAAGAATGCAACATCAACATGAAATCGACAAAGATGATGCAACTATTTGGATTGTATGCACACTGATCATCAGGTTCACTATTGTGGAGATGCACCATAGTGACCGTGTAAAACTGCAGTTCGGCATGCTTCAAGATATCTCACACCCCCTAAAGACCTCGGACAATGGCATCTACGAAGAGTTAACGACCAATGGAACTTTAACCCTTGGCAAGACTTCGCCGAATCTTTGCATCGTAAATGGAAGTACCGTTGTAACCATGTCTTAAATGACCCTGTGATGCCAGGCGAGGAAAAACTAACTCGCACATATATGGCTTGGTACATATCAATTGGATTTGGGTTTCTCTCCGAAGATATGTATCTATATGACCCACGCCAAGACACTGAACATCCATATACCCCAAACACATTGTCATATCGTAACCACCATAGCCAAAATACTCACTGATCATATAACACCAATCATTCCTCATACCATAGCCAAGAAGCCCAAACATCACAAAACTAACACATGATATATGGCTATCAAACACCCAACACCCATTTCAACCTTTCACAAACAAATCATTCATAGCAATGTCACCCTTCAATCGTCCTGGCCGTACACCCATAACTCGAACACACCCAAACTACTCTGACATGAGTCACGAGTTAGGATATCTAGGGAATGTGGAACCGATGGCCGGTATGATCAACCCGATCAACATCATTAGGGTTTTATTTATTTTCGTGTGTAATCGTATCTTGACTTTAATATTAATATTTTGATTTCTACTATAATACAAACTATCAATTATTAAAGTAAAAAAATCACAACACATATTGGTGTCAGACCAATTGGTGCCTCCCTTTAACAATTGTACATATGCGTCAATTAGATTGATAACACCTATTGTAGGTGTCAATCCAATTGACGTGCCAATTAGATTGTCATCAAGAATACTTTTTTTTTAAAAGTGGAGTATATATAAAAATTATTTGAAATGTGGAGTAATTTGGAAATATTTTTTAAAAACTGGATTAATTGAGTAAAAAATTTGTATTCTTTTTTCTATTTAGCAAGTACATAAATGGAGTGGGGAGATAAAAATTAAAAACAAAAAAGTTACAATAGTTAAAACAAAATATCAACGTGAAAATTGTGAGCAACATCCGTTAAATATGAAATTAAAGGAAGCAAGCTCGAAGGTACTTTCTTTATACAAATTATTCCCATCCAAGGAGTAGTTGCTTTTTCCAAATGCATCAAAGTCAAAGAGAAGGGTATCCCTGTCTTTTTCTCTTAATCCATCTTCTTAGACTTAATACTCGTTTTCCAAATATTTAAATATGTTCAAATCTTAGTCTTTTCATCCAATGCAAACAACAACCACTCCTCTATATTATATATATAAAAAACAAGAAAAGTTCCATTTTATATAGAACCTATGGACAACTAATAATCAAAGTGAAAACAGAAGAAAATTTCAACACAAATGTAGAAAAAAAGAGGCTACAATTTCACCATCCTCACATGATATATATAAACATTCTCATATCTCTTCTATAACCACATTCAACTTTTGCATCAATATTCATATAACCACAACACAACAATAGCATATTTATGACTGTGATGAAAATTATGTGGAAGTCAATATTTCCAAGCTGTTACAAGGCTGAAGATACCGAATACTCTTCAGCCAAAGCCAAAGAAACAACAAAAGTGGTTGCTACAAAGACAAATTCTTTCAACAGAATCTCTCTCACGGATCTGAGTTTTCCAAGTGCTACAACACTTTCTGAAGATCTTTCAATTTCTTTAGCTGGTTCTAATCTTTATGTTTTCACTCTAGCTGAGCTGAAGACTATTACTCAGAGTTTTTCTTCAACGAATTTTCTTGGTGAAGGAGGGTTTGGTCCTGTCCATAAAGGTTTCATTGATGATAAGGTTAGACATGGACTTGAACCTCAACCTGTGGCTGTTAAGCTCTTGGATTTGGATGGCTCTCAGGGTCATAAAGAATGGCTGGTGAGTTTTTTCTTATGATTATCTGGGTCGATGTATTAGTATCGTGTCTGGTGTATATGTTTGTGTCTGCGTATATGTATATGTCTTTGTCTGTGTCTGTGCTTTAGAGTTGAGAATCTATTGAGTAATTGAGGTGTGATGATTTTTTTTTTTTGTGACATAGACTGAGGTTGTGTTTCTTGGTCAACTGAGACATGAACATCTTGTGAAGCTGATTGGATATTGCTGTGAAGAAGAACATAGGCTTTTGGTTTATGAGTATTTACCAAGAGGAAGCTTAGAAAATCAACTATTTAGAAGTAAGAATTTTTCATAATTAGTTATATTTGTTCTTTCAATTTGCATAAATTTGAAGGATCTAATCTAACCTTTGTTTGATGGGAATATTGCAGGATATTCAGCATCATTACCATGGTCAACAAGAATGAAAATTGCTGTTGGAGCTGCAAAAGGTCTAGCCTTTTTACATGATGCAAAGAAACCAGTCATCTACAGAGATTTCAAAGCTTCAAACATCTTATTAGACTCAGTAAGTTTAGACTTTAGTAAATTAATGTTCCTTTTCATCAATTATATTTAAAGTTAACTCTGGATCTAACTTAATATTATTTATTCTTTATCTTCCAGGATTATAATGCAAAACTCTCTGATTTTGGCTTGGCTAAAGATGGCCCTGAAGGTGATGACACACATGTTTCAACTAGAGTTATGGGCACTCAAGGTTACGCCGCACCCGAATATATCATGACAGGTAAACTATATGTTAGTGTTGTGTCTGGTATTCAATCCGGTTACTTCTCGTAATTGGTGTTTATGTCTGATACTTGTCGTATATCAGTGTCATATCTGGTATTCATGTCACTTACTAGTCTCAAATTTTGAAAATTCTGCATAGATTAACCGTAGCTTATGGAAAAAAAAGTAAAGGTGTTAGTAAATTTTGACCCTCCGTGTGATATTTCGCTTTGCTCGCCTTCAAAGACGGTCTTGACGCTGATGTACGGCATTTGTCATATGTGGTGTTTATATCTTGTTACTTGTTTCTTGTTTTGTAGTTAATAATTCATATGGTAACCTGAATTCAATTTTTGACTTATAGGACATTTGACAGCAATGAGTGATGTGTATAGTTTTGGCGTAGTCCTACTGGAAGTATTAACCGGAAGAAGATCAGTGGACAAGGCACGTCCACCAAGAGAACACAATCTAGTGGAATGGGCCAGACCAGTTTTAAACGACGCTCGGAAACTGAGCAGAATAATGGATCCAAGGCTTGAAGGACAGTACTCAGAAATGGGAGCAAGAAAAGCAGCTGCATTAGCTTATCAATGCTTAAGCCATAGACCAAGAAACCGACCTACAATGTCAACCGTGGTTAACACTCTCGAACCTCTTCAAGATTTCGACGATATACCAATAGGTACATTTGTTTACACAGCTCCTCCGAGTGATGTTAGTAATAACGAAGTGAAGAACGAGAATAACAACACCGATACACCAAAAGAAAGAAAAAGAGAAAGTTCACATCATAATCATCAACACCGTAGAAACCAACATGGCCATAGTAATAATAATAATAATGAAGTAGAACATACGAAAGACGGTGAAGAATATTATGATAATCCTAGAGAGAAAAGAAGGGAAAGTAGTGAGAGTCATAGAAGAAATCATCATCGTCGTCCGAATGGACATAAGCATCCATTAAAGTCACCAAAAGAACAAAGTGGGTCACATTCACACTCACCTGATACATCCATTACATCAGAAAGCCAAGGAAATTAGGGAAGTATAGTTTAGAAGACACGTACCTAAATCAAACACTTGCTAAGTGTATATATTGTGTCAATGTCAATGAGCTGGTTTCAAACAAATAAAAGTTGAAAACAAAGATAAAGGGAGAGGAAAGTGATTATGCAATTATGCAAATGGTCCTAGCATACAAAGCATGCTTCAGTTTTTTCTTTAATATTATTTTTGTATTTGTTGACGAAGTTGATTATTTTGAAATGTGTATAAAATATTGAATTTTTTTTTCTAGAGTAATGCTACCTTTACACTAATTTTTGACATCAAATACTTATACAGTATATTTTGTTTATCGTATTTTATTTATCATATTTATATAATGAATAGTATATTTTATAAAAATAATATTATTTAAAAAAAAATGTAAATATTTTTGTTTTTAAAATTTATTTTATAACACAAATATATGATTGTATTATTAACCAACTTTACAATTATATCAATCAAAAAAATATATATTATTAATCAATTATTTTTCTTAAAAATTATTAATTACTTTTGCTACTTCATTAACCAATAAAATATATAATATTAATCATATTCTCACACTAAAGTATAATTGTATTAACTAATTTTTATATTCTATTAATTAATTTTATTTTAATATTTAATTTTTTTTTTGTATTTGAGAACTCATTAACCAAATTATGAACCGTATTAACCAATTTTATATAAACTATTATACATATTAACTTTTTTAATGCTAGAATATATATTAATCAAACTTTAAATCGTATTAATCAAATTTTAATATTTTATTAATCAAAATAATTTTAAAGAAAACTAAAAAAAAATATTAAAAAATTAAAATAATAATAAAAATATTGTTTAATAATAAAAACTCGATTTTTTGATTTTCTGTCGGAAAAATTCGATTTTTCAATTTTTCGGAAAAAATTGTTTTTCAAAAAAATTCAATATTTTCGAGTTTTCAGAAAAACTCAATTTTTCAGAAAAAAAAACTCGATTTTCTGAAAAATTCTATTTTTCAGAAAAACTTGATTTCTCGAAAAAAAAATTGATTTTTCAATTTTCTGAAAAAAACTCGATTTTTCGAAATTCTAAATAACATCGTTTTCTTTATTTAAAAAAATTAAGTTTTTTATTAACTAAAAAAAATAGATTTATTAGATTTAAATAATAATATAAAAATAATTCATTTAATCATTAAAATGTAATTGATTCATCCATATATATAAATAGATAGATTTAATCCAATTAATTAACTTATTTTTTATTTGATTGATAAATTCGATAGATTATTTAATCTGGTTTGAAAATCATTTCAGGAAAAGTTTCGCATTATATCATTTTAATCTTTTTTCTCAATCGTAATTATGAAATATCGAACCGTAATTTTCTTTAATAAATTCAACACTAAATACAACTTAATCAACTAACTATTGATTGGTGTGATGTTAATCTTATATACTATATATTAAACTGTTTAAAATCATATTATATTAACTATGTATGGTAGTAACAATTAATTTCAATATAAACAATATTTCAATGAATTAAATAAAACTAGAAAGATTAAAATAGGAAAAACAAATACTTAATGTGTGTGAAAATAAAGTGAACCACCGTCACATCGTCACCTCAAGTTTAACATTTTCACCAATTTATATTGATGGAAAAGAATATAAATAAAAGAGAAAGAATTAATAACACTTATGTATTCACATTTATTATAAATGTGAAATTAAAGATATTAAATTGAAAATGATATAAATATATTAATATATAAATGAAAATAAAAATAAAAGTAATGATTAATAATAAATTAAAATGCATCAGTGAGTTTGATTACTTTGTTGATGTATATTATATGTATTTTCAAAATACCATTTCTATATTAATATACTTAATTTATAGTCTTCTTAAATGTATTAGAGGGTAATTTAGTATTTGTCATTTGTTAGATATTCTCTTTAGATCTTATGTGACATCCTTATCTTTACTACTTTTGTGTATGAATAGGTGTACTAGGTTTACATTTAATACAATCAATTCTCTTCCAATCATTTGTGGCAGCTTTATAGCATTTATCCTTTTTCTCTCTTCTTCCTCCTTTTCATCACCTTGCACCAACAAATTGGTATCAGAGCTCTTGGTTTGTTTTGAAATTTTGGGAAACACGAGTGATAGTGAGCTGTGTGTTTGATTTTTGGTTCCTGATTTCTGTTGAATCTTGAACAAAAATCTGAAACAGAATCACACTGATTCCGTGGGTTTGGGAAACACTAAGTGAGAATCTGAGATCTGAGTTTTTGTGCGAGGTTTAAGATGAGTGGAGGTAGTAGTTTGAACACTAAACTTCCAATTTTTAATGACAAAAGCTAGAACAGATGGAAGATACAAATGTGTGTGCTGTGTGGTGCTCAGGATGTTCTGGATCTTGTTACTGAAGGTTATGTTCCAGTTGCAGCAGATGCTACTGAAGAACAAAAATCTGCAGAAAGAGCTACGAGGAAGAGGGATCAAAAAGCTCTGTTCTATATCCATCAGTGTGTGGATGAAAGTGTGTTTGAGAAGATTGTTGATTCGACGACGTCGAAGGAGGCATGGGATATACTGGCCAGATGTTATGGTGGTGACGCGTCAGTAAAGAAGGTAAAGCTTCAGTCCCTGCGAAAGCAATATAAGATACTCAACATGAAGAACAGTGAGAAAGTTTCTGAGTACATCTCCGGAATGATTCTGATCACTAATGAGATAAAAGCTTGTGGAGAAACACTTTCTGAACAGGTAATCATAGAAAAAATTCTGAGGTCACTTACTCCTCAGTTTGATTACATTGTTGTTTCTATTGAACATTCTAAAAATCTGGAAATCATGAGAATATAAGAGTTGCAAAGCAGTCTAGAAGCGCATGAGTTGCGTCTGACTGAAAGAACTTATGAGAGGGAAGTGGAGCAAGCTCTGAAGGCTTCTTTTGTCAAGAAGGATCAGAAGCAGAATAGACGTGGTGATAAATTCCATAAGTCAAAAACCTCAAATTCTGATGAAGAGAAATATTAGAAGGGAAAGGAAATGTATGACAAGAAAAAGGTTCAATGTTACTGTTGTAAACAGTTTGGCCATTTTGCTAGAGATTGTAGAAACAGAGGAAGGAAATCAGAAGAAGCAAATATAGCCAGAGGAGATTCTGATGATGAACTTGTGCTACTGATGGCTTCTGATTCTAATGCAAATTGTTCAGAAGATTGGTGGTATATGGACACTGGTTGTTCAAACCACTTGACTGGGAACAAATAATAGTTGATAGACTTTGACTCCAGAAGGAGAACAAAGATTAGATGTGCTGATGATAAGTATCTTAATGCATAAGGTGTGGGAAATGTCATAGTCAGAGTGAAGAATGGAAAAAACATTATGATCAAAGATGTTTGGTATGTTCCTGGAATTAAAAGCAATCTGATGAGTGTGGGTCAGCTCATTGAGAAAGGTTTCTTAGTGGTTATGAAGGACAACCTCTTGAAGTTGTATGATTCTAATCAGAAGTTGATTATGAAGTCTGAGCAGGGAAGCAACAGAACATTCAAGGTGAATATAGAAACAGCTGAAGCAGAGTGTCTTAGTGCAGAAGGCACTGAAGGTGACAGTAAGCCATGGCACAAGAGGTTGGGGCACTTGAACTATAGAAGCTTAGGGCATCTAAGTTCTAATAAGCTTGTACATGGCATTTCGAAGATTGTGAAGCCTCAAAAATCATGTGAGATATACATGAAAGACAAGCAACCCAGATTGCCATTTGCATCAGAAGTGGCCCCCAGAGCAAAGCATGCTTTGGGAGTAGTACATTTTGATGTGTGTGGACCATTTCCAGTATCTTCAGTTGGAGGAAACAAATATTTTGTGTCTTTTGTGGATGAGTTCACAAGAATGACATGGGTAACACTCATCAAGTTCAAGAATGAAGTGTTTACTGAGTTCCAGAAGTTCAAGGTGAAGGCTGAGAAGCAGAGTGGTCAGAAGCTGAAGATTCTGAGAACAGATGGTGGAGGTGAGTATAACTCTACGAAGTTCTAAAAGTTCTGTGAGGAGAATGGAATAGAACATGAGATTACTGCTCCATATACTCCTCAGCACGACGGTCTTGCTGAAAGAAGAAACAGAACTTTGCTTGATATGACCAGAAGTATGCTGAAAGAGAAGAAGCTACCTCACATGTTATGAGGAGAAGTTGTTGCCACGTCAGCATATGTTCTGAGTAGGTGTCCAACGAAGAAACTGAAGGAAACTGTTCCTTAAGAAAAGTGGACTGGAGACAAGCAAAGTGTTAGCCATCTGAGGGTGTTTGGTTCTGTATGCTACAAACACGTTCTAGAGGCTAGAAGACGGAAACTGGATGATAGAAGCAAAGTAATGTTACTGGTGGGGTATCACAGTACAGTTTCCTATAAGCTTTATTGTCCAGAAACCAACAAAGTTGAAATCAACAGAGACGTCATTGTGAAAGAGTCAGAAACATGGGATTGGAACAAGCTTCAATCAGATTCTGGTGTAGCGCCAACACCAGAGTTAGTTTCTGAAGATTCTTCAGAAAGTTCTGAAGACAAGTCAGAGTCAAAAGATGAAGACTCTGAAGATGAGTCAGAATCTCAGGGAGATTCTGATAGTGGATCTGATTCTGATCCAGATTCTGATAATGATCTAGAATCTGGTGGTGATTATATTTCTGGAAGGGAAAACTCTGAAGACATAGGGTCTGGAGGACAAGTTTCCAGAAGTAACTCTGAAGGTAGTAATTCTAAAGGAAGTAGTTCTGGAAAAAGTCTATAAGCTAGCATTGTTCCGATTTCTGGAGAAGCTTCAGAACAAGTTCAGAGGCCACAGAGAATCAGACGAATACCAAGTAGGTTTGCAGATTTTAGCATGTTGCATGATACTGAAGTAGATTCTGAATGAGAAATCGTTCAATGTACCATGTTAGTAGATTCTGAACCAGTGGGTATTGAAGAAGCTCTCAA